ACTAAGACAGATTTTTGTATGATGTCTTTATTAGGAAGCTGTTTCCCAGGCTGTTCGCTCCTTCAAATTGGTTTGTATTAGCCGAGTGTAGAAAAGGGAAAGTCTACTTTGCAATCTCAGCTAGGAATATTTTAACCCAACTAGAGCTTATTTTTGTCACATTTCAATTTCCATAGCTTTTTATTCAAGCCTTATCTTTTCTTTAAATAGAGGCTTTCATCTCAGAGGATCCCAAATACACTTTGGAGGAGTATTTGGCAGCTTTTCATTATTGTTTCTTCACAGAAATTGAAGAAAAACTTTGTTTGTGGTGAACTGGGAAGCTGTGGTGCAACCATTCCAGCACCAGCTGCACAGCCACCACACCAGCACTGTGATTGCTCAGGTGTCTTTGAAAACCTCTTGAGTCTTTTTCTGTGTCAGAATGGTCACTGTATATATATGTATATAGTCTTCTTCTTTTTTTTAATTGTTTACACCTGCCATTCTTTCATCTCCAGCACTTTAAAACCATGTTTTTAAACTTCCAAGCAATGTCTATGGGGTTTGCTTCTCCTTTTGGCTTCACTGGGGGCTTTAAAACCTCTGGTAGACCACAGTAGTTGGATGAGTTTCTTGTGTACGTATGAACCTTACCTGAGGATTCCATACTTAAAAATGTTCTACTTCACTTGCAGCTTGCAAGTATTGGTGTTGTGTTAGACTGTGCATGAACTGCTGGCTGAACATTTCACAACAGTCTAGGAAAGCTTGAGATGAGAAGAATCACATGCAGTGGGAGCTGAAATGGGACAGAGCTGATATTTTTCAAATATTTCAAATATTCAGTCACCCAAGCAGCAAGCCTTAGGTTTGGGATTGCACGGATCAAGGAGGAGGCTTATCAAATTTCACACCTTTTTCAAATTTCCTTTTCAGTTTGTGGTGGGAGGGGGGTAAGGAGCAACACTGAGAGTTTAGTTGTTCTCTCAGCTGAGATGGCAGATGTGATAATGTGCTCCAAAACACATCTCCTGTGACAGAGCTGGGTGCCTGCCTCCAATTCCACCTGCAGGAGGAAACTACTTCCAGGAGCCTTTCCCCAGTCAATTCTTTTTCTGGTGTAGAGGGTGAGAGGGCAGCCTTGGAGAAGCAGCTAAAACTCTTTGACCTCCTTTTTCCCTCCCCTTTTGCTTCTGCCACTGATCCCTGACATTTTGAAACCAGAGCTGAAAAGTAAGTGCAAGGTGACTTGCAGGATTACTATATTTACAAAAAAATCTAGTTTTTGGTGTGGCTAGGTAGCTGGTGGCACAAAATGAAGTCATTTCAAGGCTTTAGCTATAGAAATATCCCCTTCTCCACATTTTTTTCTCCCAGAGAGCTCCATAGCTCCAGTAAGAAGGGAATAATTGAAGTATTGGGACTCAGTGTGGTAGAACAGAAATAGTTTGCTTGTAGCTATTGGTCCGGAAGACCTCAGCCCATGGCATGCCAATCAATGCCATGTTTCATAGGATGAGGTAAGAGGCCACGAAAATCTTTCTTGTTTCCTTGCACTACGAGGCATGAAATCTGATTAGTCTTGTCCTCTTATAATTGTGATTTACAGTCCTAAAGCTGGCAGTGTGTTCCCAAAAGACCACCTGTGTCCCTGCGATGCAGTGAGTGAGAGTATGCTGGAAAGGGTTTTCCCAACCCTTTAGAAACATGAACAAATGAAATACAGTTTCCTTGGACATCAGCTTCCGATTAAATTCTATGTACCCAACAAAACCATCCTCCTCAAATGCATATGTACCTCATAGAGGAAAATCAAGGTCCTGCCATTGGCCATGGCAGAGAATACAAGGATCCCAGAGCAGCTTTTCTGACCACTTAAATTACAAATGCAAGTTAAGTGATAAAGTTAAGTAGACCTATTCCTATGATACAGGCTTAGCTCTCCTCCAGTGTGGCAGTCTGGTTATGAAGGAAAGGACTCCATAGTTCACACATAATAAAATGTATAATATCCCATACTTCATGCATAACATAATGTACACACACACGTAATAAATATACAAATTTTGTGTGTGAGTGTCCAGTTTTGGTAGCTGAAGAATAACCTCTGAATGTGAAAACATGTAGCAATGTCTGGAAAGATGGTTAAATGGAAATATAGCTAGAGTTTAATTGGGGGGCTTGATGGTAACCACTGAAGGTCTGGGTTTTCAAATAATTTAGAAATAACTTTGTCTACTGAATTTTTGCCATGGTTATTGAGGTAAATTGGGTATTTACTGTGCAAATGGCTACTGTCCATTGGTGGGAAGTGGCCTGCTGACTGGAGATAACAAGGGGACCTAACCTTGTAGCCTCTGGCTGGCAAACCCTAATTAAAATGCAGCCCCATCCTCTCTGTGGAATGCTGTTTCCAAATGCTCATATTCAAGCTGCATAACCTCATTCATCAGGCATTCCCCTTGCCCACAGAACAAGTTTCTTTCAAATTGGTACAGAAATCTGCTACGAAGGTCTTTTTGCTCCGTGACAAAGGCAACGGGACCCACGCTAATGGTTTTGGGCTGAGGAGCGAGGAGGAAGGCTTTGCAGTGTTGTTGGGCACCGAAAGTCCCCAACAGCTGAGCTCTGTGGTTAAAAAGAGAAAAAGCTTAAGGGAGGGAAGGGAGAGTTTGCTTTATCTTGAGAGGAATGCAGCCTTATTTCTCTGCTGATTCACATTTCTTTTGAGACCTGCTAATTGCAACATCTCTCAGTAAGTTACTTACAGCAGAACTACTGGGGAGAAATTGTGATAAATGCATAAACTGTGTCTTATTGATTTTTGTTGACTTTTTACATGCTTCTTATGCATTCAAACCCTCCATTCAGTAATTGTCACTATGGTACACACTCCTGGATAATGAGAGCCAAAGAAGCAAGTGAAGCAGTTTCTTGACCATTATCAACAATATTATTCAAGGCTCTGTATGGGGTTCCTTGCCTGCCCTCCAGTATATCTCTATTTGTGCTCATCCCCCGTTGAATTTGCAAGACGAGAAATGAAAACCCTTGGTGTTATTTCCTCTGTTAATGGTAATAACAGAAATGGTATTAAGAGAGATTACTGTGAGACTGATGGTAAATTTGGACCTCTTTTAGTGCACAGCAGCAATATGGAATCTAAGCAGAGGTACTGTGGTTTATTTACCTTTCTACTACACATTTTGTCTAGATTGTTGTACAGAAAGCTGGTTTGTTACATCATATTCTGTGACAGAAATTTGTTGCTGAACGAGATCAGTATAGCAACATGTAGTATGGCTAAACAGTAGTAAGACATCATCAGCTGTTTTGTTACCTAAGAAATTCGTGAAGTTTGGGTAAAAGAATTATGACTTCTGATTTTATGATGCTCACCTATCAGCCAGAGGTATGTAAGACAGTTTAGGTTCTCTTGAATCAAGGGCCTTTGCATTAAAGAGGAAAAAAAATACCACATGATGCAAAAATGCATTGACTTTATTTTCATGACTAGATGTAGTGCTTTTGGGTAATGATCAGGCATTGCTTTCTCTTACTGTTGTTTGATTAAAATGTGAATACAGTCTTGACTTGATAATCTTACCAGGTACACACAGAGCTAAAAAGAAAAGGTATTTTATGCCTCAAATTGATTTGCATAAACCAAACAATCTGTTGCTTGTTGGATTGCAAAATGGTTTATTTTGCCCATTGGCCACAGGGGCAACAATATTGTATTTTTGATGCCAGAATGTAGCTTTCATGCATTAGCTCTCAAATGACAATATGCTTTAGCCTCTCAGTGCTTAGATCTGCTTCATTTGGAAATCTTTTAAGTAGTAATAATAATAATGTTTTGAGGAAATTGAGTGGAACACTAAATTATTCTCTGAAACCTAAGTTCAAACTGTGCAAGGCTAAGGGAGCTGAAAATCAATGCACTTTTAAAGTCATTAGAGATCACAAGTGAAATAAGTCTGTGTTGCTTAAGCTAAGCTTTTAGTGTGCCATGGTATTATTACAAAATCAGCCTGAATCTGCATTAATTTCACAGTCTTTTTCTTTAAGATGCCCAAGGGTGCATGAAGAATAAAATGTAAATCTCAGGAGGCAATGTTTTTATTAGCCAAAAGGGCAGTGAGTCATGCACTAAAAAAGTTGAACTGTACCATGCCCAGTGTAGGTATGGCTGACAGTAGTAAAAGGGTGGAAATATAGCCCAGGCATTAGCCTAGTGGCTTTTCATTATGATTTAAAAGACTGAGGAGGAAAAAAAAAGTGATTTTTCAGGTTTTCATGCACATAGCTTCAGAATTGTTCAAGGTGGCGGTAGCTTTAGAATTACACTTGTACCTAGGACTCGGAGAAACAAAAATAGTAAAGATTTTTATTTTTGTTATTTTCTTAAATGTTGAGATTCCACCTACATTACTGAATTTTGTCTGAGTCTTTTCACACATAGTCACAGGCTACACAGTGGAGTTTTTCTCATTCTAATTTGTATGATCATTCTTGGTGCATCACAGTAATGTGTGATGTAATGGACCCCTGTATTAAATTCCCAATTCAGCTGTCGGTAATGCCAGTCATTTATTCACAGTTTACCTGCACAAAAGCCAGAGCGAGCAATTGTTAATGCATGGTCTGAATAGACTTAACTATGCAATCCAAAGGCTATATAAAAGCCTTACTTATTTCAAACCCTGTGGCTAAAGAACAAAAACAGAAACAAAACAACATGAAAAAAAAAACCAACCAAAAATTTAAAAAAAAAATCGAAACAAAACCCCTTCACATCACCCATCCCCACCTAATTTTTTTTCTTTCATCTATGGTCAGATTAGCAAGTCAGCACTGTCGATAAATAAACTAGAGAAGTTGTTTATTTTTATGTACTACTGAGAACAGTGTCGTCTTGTGGCCGTTCTCGTAGACTGTGTTGGTTTAACAAGCGTCCAACCCTTTTGTCTTGTTGTTTTTTGTCTTTCCTGCTCCCTGTCCCCTTGTTCCCACAGGCTGTGCGTTTGTCACATTTTCTACAAGGGCAATGGCACAGAATGCAATCAAAGCCATGCACCAGTCTCAGACCATGGAGGTACAGTACTGTATCATTTGCCCTTTCTTTGTTTTCTTTGTGCAAATGATTGCGAATGGTAAAGCCATGCTCTCCTGGATCAGATCAGACACATGACAATCACAGATTTAAATTTTTTACCAGCTCACTCTACTGGTCTTTGTGAAGCTTTATTTTTCTTAATCACCTGAAAGCGCACAATAAGGTGGCTGTGTGGTATCCAAACACAGCTCTCTATCCTGTTTTCAGTGGCATTCGCAGAAAATAAAATGCTGTGAATACCACTCCTCAGTCGTACTCAGAGTATATCTGATGAGTAAATTATCTCTATTTTTAGCACACGTACCCCCCAAAGAAAAATCTTAGTTTCTTTTAAATAGATTTCTAAGTGTTGTGATTTGTACTGCTCTGAGAAAAAAAACTCAAGAGATTTAACATGGCCACACTGAGTTACTAGTGCATGTGTTTTTCTGCAAATAGAATCTCTTTTTAACTTAATATAATTTTGCCTTCTTCATGTAGCCAATAAAAATGCTAATGATGACAGAGCATGTTGAAGTGTGGCACTTCCTGCAGAGCACCCGTCGTGGCTGGCCCCTCGCAAGCAAGATTCTTTATTCCCTTCCAAACTGCCTCTATGGCCTCAGATTTTATCATGATGAGCAGCTCAAAACTTTAAACTTGTTCACTTAATGTGACTGTAGCTGCGGGCTAACGATCCGGTCCTTGGAGTGGTTATCGAATGCCACGGCTTGTCTGGCAATCTCAAAACTTTTTTCAGTCTGTGATTTTTGTCATGGTCTTTCAGAATTTTGCACAAAAAACCGCACAAGTATGAAATCTTTACTTACTCTGGATCTTCTAGCTTATCATTGGAGAGTGCATGTTATACTGTATTATGTATACTGTATCTTCGTGTAGTGATGATTTTTCTCAGAGGTGGCATTGATGTTATGTGCACTTGTTTTCTTTTTTTTTTTCTTTTTATTTCTTTTTCCACCAGGACCTTTCAATTTTTTTTAATTTTTTTTTTCTCTCAGTGATTTTCCTTTGCAATGCTCTAGTCTCCCAAAGCATGCTGGGTGCTAAACAATCATTATTGCGTCATGTCGTTGAGCTGCTTTGTGTAACGAGCCAAGGGGGGAGACCAGGGGTGGGAGGGTGGACAGAGGAGAAGGAGCAGAAGATAAAATTCCAGCTAGTGCATGAAACTGTCACTAACTGTTTCCTGTATAGTACAAGTAATGATATTGGCATTGCAAAGCTATTGTCTTTCCAAACATCACGTTTGAATTTGGTTGAGCTTCTTTTATAATCGATGTGTTTTCTTTTCAGTGCAATGCATTTTTAGACCCTGGGTATACAGTTTTAGATGAGAATCTGCCAATGAGATGAGAATAATTGAAATTATATTTACTAGAAAGCTGCTGTTATACAGTCTATGCAGTCTGACAGTATATTGTGAAAAAACTGCCACTTTGAGCCTCAAAATAATACCTGTAGTAATTTGTCTGCCATGCACTGCTCCTTTAATTCAGATATATATGTTTTGATGGGTTTGATTCCTAGTAAAACGGAAATGTTTATTGGTAATACTGTGTTTTACCTATATTTTCCATGTGTTTTAATGTATTTTTCTGTCTAGCAAAATGAATTTTACACAGCTCTACTTCAGAAGATGGTAAAATTAAAGACATAACACCTCCCAGACAAATTCTCCCTTTCCTCTGTTGTAAGCAGCACTCCAAAAGAGGCTGGGTTTTGACAGGATAATCCTAGTGACATTAGTTCTATAGAATCTTGGATCAATTCTATAGAGTCTTGGACCAAGATCCTTCTCAACACCTTTAGAGACATCATCACTGAGATCTCCATATAGGCAAAGAAATTCCAAATATTTTGCACTTTGAACATCTGGGTCTTTGTGTCAGTTGAGCTTAGGCTGGGAGTCCCTTCTTGGAAAGAAGCCATACACCCTCCCTGTCCATGGGGGAGGGACTCATTGGAGGCTGTACCTGCTGCCCTGACAAGACACAGGAACATATGAAGGCAGCACAAGTTGTTGGGAAGAAAATGGCACTAAATGGTACGGACATACCACGCCATTGAAAGAGGAAGGGAAATGCACCTTGTGTATGTGCTGGAAACCTCCTCTCAAGATAGAAAATGGAAGTGCATAAAACAGAAATCACCCTGTAGGCAAAAAAAAAAAAAAAAAAATTGCTCACTTTTGCCAAGACTCCTCTAGTAAAAAGTTAACTTGCGTTGACTGACGTTAAGTGTCAACTCTCAGCCTGAAACAGTCATCCTTGGACACTTTTGTTTCATGTTCTTTTCCAAACAAAAGTGGACTTAGGGGACCACGTATAGTACACAATTGCATTTCAACCCAATTACTAGAGATTTTATTTTTTCTGATTTCATTATTTTCACTTCTTTAGCACGCATCATTGACCAAGATGAATTTTCAAAGTGGGCTAAGAAAGAACAATGGGGATGTTAAGTCCAGATGAACACGTCTTATATAATGATACGTTCTCTTACTGCTCTTTCCACCTGACTTACTGACCTGGTTAAATCAACTGATTTAAAAAATATAATTGCTGCTCTAGAGTGTTTGCTTTTCTATCTCATTTCTGTGGAGGTTTTTTGTTTGTTTAAGGCATTCAAATGCAGCATCAGTAGAAGACACTAATTTGTTATCATGGAGTAAATTTGATACAACAATAACAACCCTTTTCTCATATAGAGCCACTTGCTAGATATAATTTCAGTCTTCAGAATGTTTGCTTTCTTGAAAATGATGAAGTGATGAAATATAAAGCAGACAGTGAAAAAAATGAATTATAGATTCATAAATTGCAGAGATATTGTTTTTATACAATTTACTGACATTTAAGCATTCATAAATATGTCAGCTGTAGTGTTGAGTGCTGAGCTGCTGAACTGAAAACTGAAATAGCCATATAATATTTCTTCCTTTGATACTCATTTCTATTTCTTTGGAAATAGACTTGATTCTCCTGTACATCTAAGTAGAAGGCAGTAAGTTCTGGTTGTTCTTAACCCGATGTTACCAAACCTTATAATAAATAGAAACAGCTTGCTTTTTTTATTAGAAAAACGTGAAAAATCTCTCTTACACACTCCACCCCCCAGCTCCTTTTTCTTTCCTTTTTTTTTAAATTATCTTATTTTTAATATTAGTATAAAAATCACTAGAGAGAGGTAATTGTGTAACAAGCCAACTCCTCCATAATCTTTATTTGATTGCTGGAGTGTTATGTATCTCCTTTCTCTCTCACTGAAACACTGAAAGACCTTTTTACAATGAAACACACAGGAAAGGAATTGGAGGTAGAATAATAAATCACAAGTGATGATTTTCCAAGATAATTCTAAAGGAATGGTGTTGATGAGAGATCTTCATACAAGAGATATTGTTATTGTGGTTTATTTCATCATTTCATCTGATGATTGTGAATATTTTTATCACTTGTCCTGGTGTGAGGTTTTTCAGAGGAAAAGGTACATGGCTGCTTTTTGTAAATAATCAAGACAGGATCTTTTCTGAAGATGTTCACAGGGTTGTGAGGGCAGCCACGGGAAGAATTAGGTTGAGTATAACCCTGCTCCGCATCCCACGCTATACACTTTGTCTAAAGCACTGCTGTGTTTTTTGGGCTTGAGTCACTTATCACTCCTACCATTGTGTTCAGATTGAAGTTAGACAAGAAATTAGTATAACAAAGCATGGCGGGTGGAGGGAAGTTATTCATTGGATCCTATGAAGTTGAAAAGCAGTATGAAATGGATTGACAGTTTCTATGACTCATAAAATGCTTGAATTAATTTGAAGAACTGAATCATTGCAGTATATAGTTTGCTTCCTTGATTTGAAAAACATGAAGACTTGAAAGGTTAAAATATGAAACATTTCCTAGCATGGAAAAGAAACAGAGAGAAATCAACAAAGACATCTTTCATAATCACATCTCGTTCTCTCAGTGCCTTGTCCCAGGAATGCATAATTTGAAGTCCAAGAGTAATTCCAGCTTACCTCAAAAGTCCATCTGGTCTTTGACCTCCTACTTGTTCCCTACAGTCCCTCAGACATGGGTGAGGCGTAGGCTGCAGACCAGATCTCTAGTTCTTTCTTACAGCTTCCCTATTTCCTAAGGCGTCTAACAGCCCTCCCATATCATGTAACAAGAGGCTGATAGAAGCAATAGAAGAAATGGTGGCAATCAGGAATGGGCTGCTATCACCAGAACTAGTCACTTTTGGTCTGCATCCTGCTCTTTGTTCACATCTCAAGGGTGCTTGATAGAAAGCGTGCCTGGGAGCGGACCACAGGTGGGTGAATTGACTGGGGGACCTTGACATGAAAAGGACCAGCAACTCGCTGATGACGGGTGATGCAGTGAGGCTGCTGCTCACAGTCTGTAGGGAACACAAGCCAGTGTAGGACACACAAGCCCAGCTGCACTGAGTGTGACTGCACAGTCAGACCGTGGTGGCAGGGCGGTGTTGGCTGTGTGGTCCCTGGCAGCAGGGAGGTTGGACACCTCTCCCTTTGGCAATGCCTTGAAAACAGACTGCAGACAAAGCATCACGTCCATCTCATCAGCTGTGAAGCTTAATTAAAGAGGACTGGTACACTTTGCTGTCTCTGGCAGCGATTTTGATAGCTGGAAGGAAAAGAGAGCCTGAGGAAAGGTGCTTTATAAAAAGAACTGGGGAATCAATAATTTCTTCATGGTCTCTTTTCCTAAGAACCTGAAAATCTTAGTCCTTGTGGTCCTACAAATGCCAGTCACAAAGAGAGGGTGAGCGACCTGGTCGTGCCACTTCCAGTGGCCCTACAGGACATGGCTGAGCTCAGGGTGTGAGGGTGACTCGGTGTGATTTAACCCTTCTGTCTTTCCCGATCTGTCTGACCACAGGGCTGCTCTTCGCCAATCGTGGTGAAGTTTGCTGACACCCAAAAGGACAAGGAGCAGCGGCGTTTGCAGCAGCAGTTGGCTCAGCAGATGCAACAGCTCAATACTGCCACTTGGGGAAACCTCACAGGTCTTGGAGGACTCACGCCACAATATCTAGCTGTAAGTTCATTTCAGAGGCGGTGGCTGTATTATACTGTATTTATTTTAGAACCGTGGTAAGCCATATAGTAAACTCCCTGCAATAAATTGCTAAGCCCTCCAGGATACGTAGTGTGTCTTCTGGGTATGTTTATCACACGGACTAGAAATAAATAACAAGGAATAGAAACCGAATAAGCATTTGAAGATGTGTCAGTGTTGTCAAAGGCAAGCATTTAAAGTACCCTTGTGCTGCAAAATAAATCATAGATTCATAGAAAGACTTGGGTTGGAAGGGACCTTTAAGATCGTCTAGTTCCAACCCCTCCACCATAAATAAAATTTGATTTTATTAGTTTTATTGGGGTTTTGAATGTTAGAGTCTGGTTTTTATAGCTGGAATAAAATTTAAGTTCTTCCTTAGGGGAGGACAGACGAGCAGCTCAATATGGCCTACGGTAGAGGCCATGTCTGTATGGTGCTGCCTCTAAACTAGAATGTTGTGGATCAATCATCTAATTTTCCACATTTTCATTTGGGAATGGCTTTTTCTTTAATGCATGGTCCTGTCAATGCTAAACATGTGTGGTTCATACAGCCTCATACAGGAAGTGAAGGTGGCCAGGAAAAGCCATTTGTTTCTCATAAATTTAAAATTATATTTTCCTTGGTCCATTTGTAAGATGAGAAAGAGGTGTTAGCTGCTGTCCCTGCTGGAAAATCTGAAATCCACAGCCACCTGTCTTAGGTCGTGGGTGACCAAGAGAGACTGCCCTGCAGCTCAGCTGAGAGCGAGCCTCTGCCTTTTGTGGCTCTGGAGCTGAGACGTTTGGCTGAGGAGCTTTTGGATAACTTGAGAGTTCCTGATGCTTCTGAGTTAGACAAATAGAACCTTATGAAGTACAAGGCCAAGTGCAAGGTCCTGAACCTGGGTCGGGGCAATCCCAAGCACAAGCACAGGCTGGGAAGAGAACAGATCAAGAGCAGCCCTGAGGAGAAGGACTTGGGGGCGTTAGTGGATGAGAATCTCAGCATGACCCATATGGATGTGAGCCAGCAGCCCAGAAAGTCAATCATGTCCTGGCCTGCATCACAAGAAGTGTGACCAGCAGGTCGAGGGAGGTGATTCTGCCCCTCTGCTCTGCCCTCATGAAACCCCACCTGGAGTGCTGCATCCAACTCTGGGTCACAGCTCAACATGGGAAGGACGTGGAGCTGCTGGAGTGAGTCCAGAGGAGGCCACAAAGAGGATCAAGGGGCTGGAGCACCACTCCTATGGAGACAGGCTGAGAGGGTTGGGGTTGTTCAGCCTGGAGAAGAGAAGGCTCTGGAGACACTTTAGAGTTTTCGGTACCTAAAGGGGGTCTCCAAGGAGTCTGGAGAGGGACCTTTTACAAGAGCATTTAGTGACAGGACAAGGGGTAATGACTTTAAACTGAGAGAGGGTGGGTTTAGACTAGGAAGAAATTGTTTCCTGGAAGGGGAGTGAGACACTGGCATGGATTACCCGGAGAAGTTGTGGATGCCCCATCCCTGGAGCTGTTCAAGGCCAGGTTGGACGGGGCTTGGAGCAACTTGGGCTAGTGGAAGGTGTCCCTGCCTATGGCAGGGGGATTGGAACAGGATGATCTTTAAGGTCCATTCCAACCCAAACTGTTCTAGGATTCTATGATTCTATGAAATAGATGTGTCCATATATATGTACTGGGTATGCATAAATACATGATTTGTGTGCATACAATGCTTTGGTATAGTGTTATAAACAGCAATTTACCCAGCAATTAAAAATATATATTAATACTGAGGTAGGATAATTAATACTGAGATAGGCTAAATTAATATATACAAATACCAGTCTAATGAATATCTGTGTGCTTGATTCATAAAGATAATAAAGAAAAAACTGAATTCACAGAGGTGGGGGAGAATGGACTGTGATTGACAGAGATGAGTTATGGTAACTACCAGACTACAGAGGGTTGTAATTAGTCACACTATGTTGGTTTAAATAGATTTAACACCTGGTTGTTAAAAAGAATAAATTGATTAATTGTTTTAAAGCAGCCATGTTATTGAGTTTCCCTTGTGTCTCTGTGTTTCTTAATAGAGATTAGACATTAATATGGATTTACAGCATTGACTCTAGGGATGTTCATTCTAACAGCAGACAGAAGCAAGAGACTATATAAATGTAAAGGAAAGCAGAAATACTCCAAATGTGAAATGATAGCTCATTTTAGTTTTATCTTCATTTGTTGCATTACTGTCAGATAGATTGCTGTGTTGTGTTGTTCATTTGCAGCTTCTGCAGCAAGCAACTTCCTCCAGTAACTTGGGTGCCTTCAGCGGCATTCAGCAAATGGCCGGTGAGTTAAAAACCATTTCACTTTGCTCCAGCTATGTTTTGTATTCTTAAGCTATTGAATTCTGTACCTCTAATAATCACATTGTCGGGGGCGGGGGGCATGTTGTTTATTAAATGTGGCAGATGTATTGGCAGGGGACAGCTCGTGGTTCAACGTCAATAGAAACACTTTCTCCCCTCTCTCAGAACTGAAATTAAACCCAGTGCTCCCAGGTTGTGCAAACAGTTTGTCTTGCATTAGTCACCTGCCATTTGGCCAAAGTAACCAATTGTAAATTGCAGGAGAGCTCTTAGTCCCTGCAGCCGTATCCTGCCCTATGAAAAGTGTCAGGAAAGCAACAGCAGGATTACATTCTAATTTCCAGTGAGATTTCTGTGTCCTGAAAAATCAAATTAATGGCATCCCTCAAACATTTTAATAATAGGTGGTGAGGAAAAATGTTCTGACCTTTTTAATGAAACCCAAGATTACAGGCCTACCTTCAGTATGAATTTTCAGGCTCCTTTTATAATCATGGAAAATTAACTGGGTGCCTTTTTGACTTTGGAACCCTAGTCGGCGAAATTACACAACAGAGATTTTATGTAAAAGTATAATCTTTAGTCTGGAGGAAAAAAAAGAAAGAAAGGAAAGGGGAAAAAAGAATCAAAGTGTGAGCGGATTTGAAAGCCAGCTAGTTGGAGGGTTTCTTAGTAATGAGCTGTGTGCCAGTAGTAACTGATGTGTAGTGATTAGCAAAAGGTCACTCCCACTGTGTGACCTACCATGCTGATATCCTAACTTAACATGATGCTAGAGAAGGCAGCATGTGCAGTAAATCAGAGCACAGATGCACATTATGCCTGCCGCGAGGAACTGTTAAAAAGCTTTTTTTTCTTGTTACAGGGGAAAAAAAAAAGAATCACAAAACCCCTAAATTGCTACATTAGTTTATTTTAATCATGAACCCACTGAATCAATGAGATACAACATCGTGCTTGCTTCATCATCATAAAACAAGGGCTAAAATATTCAGAAGTCTTTATGAACACCATTTTCTCATTCTTTTTTTAATCCTGGTCTTTTGCTTCTTCTGGTTCTGCTTTGAATGAAGCCTGAAATTCTATAACAAGTATAGATATACCTCACTGTATAGCTATACCCCACAGGTATTCTTTGCTCAATCGTTATATTATGCCATTATTGCAGTGACATCAGAGACTAATGTGAACCTGCTGTCTGACAATATAAATTGGCCTACAGATGACAATATCTCTGAATTATTCTCTCTTCCTCAGACCTGCTGGCAGTGCTTGCTGGTTCTATTATGTTACACTTGCAATCTAGCATTTTTTTCATCAAAAAAATGTATCTTAATATGATAAACAGAACAGAACGGTTCAGTAACAGTTTTATACTTGGCAGTTTTGGAAGTGGTTTTGAGCTCAGAGATTGTGTTTTAATGCTTTCATATTTGGTTAGGTCTACAAAATGAAAGAATTGAGACACCAAGGAAAAATAATGTGATATCTATCGCATTATGTGCACCTTAGAAGTTTTTGTTTGTCTGGTTTTCGCTGGTAGTGTAGATTCACCTCTGTCTTCAAGAACTCTGTTGAAACTAAGGATTTTAGTCAAGTAACTTCAGGATGGGCTCTTAATCCACGCTGTGATTTATTCTCTGAAAATCATATGGTCTTGAGACTAGGAGAAAGTCATCTTAAGAAATCATAGTTGGCACATCATTGTTACTCGAGGGATATACCTTCTCGACTACAAATTAGATTGCTAATGCACTCATCTATGAGATAATTTAATGACTGACTGCCTTTCTTGGAAAAAATGTATTTTATATCTTATATTTATGTTATCAAAACAGCTTGAAGTTCACTCCTTTCTTTCCCCAAAACATGTAACTAAAATGTTTATGTTCAAGGTAAAATTACTGATACTAAATTGTTCTCCAAGCTGCACCTCTACGTGAAAGTACCAAAGACTAAGCACTATTTCCTTGTTAGAACTGGGAGTTCATGTTCTCTTCTCAGAAATCAGGCAGTATTATGTCATTCAATGCATCCAGTATTAACAATTTGGATATTATGTTTTGTGAAAGGAATAGAAAATACTCCTGTGTCTTCAGCAAGAGCTTACATTACCTGCTGAAGCCATCTTTGAACATTTGTAAAGGCCCACAGTTTTTTAGCTTAAGCTGTATAGGTTCATTTTACAAAAATTAATCTAACATGTAATTTCATATTGCATATAGTTTACCTTTTAATGTAACATTTCCGAGTGGGGAATAAAATCTAGTCACAATTGAGTAAGGTGCTAAAGAAGATCCATCATTGCCACTTTCAAGTTCTTTGAACTTTGTGTTTGAGGGGTGCAACTTTTATCCTTGAAATCGATGGGTGTGCATACCATGGAATTCAGACACTACAAGTTTGATTAAAAGCCAAGTGAGCCAAGGAAATTCCACGCTTACTTGCATGCCAGGGTTCTAGCATCTCTTTTGTGCTTAAATCTTGATGAAGTCATGGTTTGCTACATTCAGATTTCTGGTAGAGCCACCCCGTTGTCCAAAATTAGGGCCCTTTGGATCTGCAGGTATTTATTTGTATTGCTAAAGCTTGTGTTGTGTTGGTACAAAACAGAAAGGACACAGCACGCACCCCACTGCACATGTGAAGAATTATTTGCACTGCTCAGTGATATTATTTCTTGAATCAAAGCAAGTTTCTTTGTCAGCAGAGCGAAGACACTGATCTTCAGTGTGGAATTTTAAATTCCCTTTCCCTAATATTATGCCTCAATCTGGTTAAAGTAGTTTTTATGTTGCAAAAGCTGTGGTTCTTTGATTTTGGTGAAAGGAGTGGGATTTTTAGACATTTGTGATTCAAGAGTATTGGAGTTTTTCTGTTTGTTTGGAAGTGAGAATACAGTCCAATGAAATATTGGGATTTTTCTCAAGAACTCAGTAAGATACAGACATTAAACGCACAGAATCAGCTCTAAAGTAGCTGTAGCAGCCTACTGACCCTGCTATATGTTTAGCATTTTGTGAAGTCCAAGCAAATCATGAAACTGTTCTAACTAAAATTTGAGATACTAAAATATGAGAAACAAAAAGTTGTAGATTGCCATTTAGCTTTCCAAGATTTAAGGTGCCACACTTAATTCCTCGGATTAGGTTTTTCTGACTTTTTATTGAAAAGAGATTTTAATGAAATTGTTTTATTTCATGAGTCAAGGCAAAGAAAACAATGTAAATATGTTGAGACTGGCAACAAATTTGGGCAAGTTGGCAATGCTGCCTTTGGTATTATCGTAATCCCATGGTCCTGATGGGAGGCACTTACCCTTCCTTGCCAAACTCTGCTTCATTGTCCTGTATAAAACATGCAAGCACATGCCATCCTCATGTGCATATTTTATAGTGAGCAATTCCTCACTTTTCCTCCCCTCCTCTGATATCTGCTCTTGCTAATTTAAAGGCAATGTTTCCTCTCACATGCCTCTCCAGCCTCAGCGTCTAGTCTGCACTTTGTCTTTGGGGAAGGCTAATAATGTAGATGAATTACATTATGGGATTTGATTGTCTTACTTTAAAAGACAATGCAAGCTACATTAAGCACTAGCAACCTCTCAAGCAAACAGAAATTCCTCCTTCAAATATATACAAATTGCATGGAAAGCTTAGTTCAAAGGAGATTGATGTCGCTTGAATGTTTGCATTGAATTTGGCTGGCACTAGATCAGGTCCTAAAAGCTGCAGTTATTTAAGCCAATGAGCCTGTAAAGTACTATACAGACAGTATAAACAGGGAGGTTTACTGTTATTAGGGTGATTGTAGAAAATATTTCAGTGTTTTCAATATATAAAAAATATATGATCTATGAAGATTTTCTATTGTCCGTTAATGTCAAATGTTTTGGCAGGAATAAATATTGGCTCATACAGCAATATTTCTATATGCGTGACCATTCAGGACATAAAAACATGCAGTACTCATAAAAAATACAAAGGATGTCTCTTAATTTCATTGAATAGACAGTGTATTTTGCTTCCTGAAGTTATACAGGAGGAGAAACCATGGTTTTGGCTTTTCTTCTTTGGCATTAAGATCCCTAAACCCTCTACAGCTGGGACTTTCATATTTTTCCAATGTATGTTTTTTTTTCCCAGTCCTTTCCAAGTTCTCTCATGGTTTGGTTGCATTTTGGGTTGAACTTCTGGCCCTTTCTGAGCCCAGTTCAATCCATTCCACCCTTCTTCTGCTACCCAAGCCAGATTTCCTCCTGTTGCAGAGTCTGTAGGACCAGATGGGTGAGAGAAACTCTGCAAGGTTCTGCTTTCTGAATATTTTCCTCTAATTGTTGGATTGGCTCAGTAGATCTGGAGGGACCAGTTGGAAGCCAGGACCATCTGCACAAAAGCTCTATACTTTTGCACTGGCCCAAGGATCCTTTATATCCTCTGACTCCGGAATGGCTTCATTCCAGCAAAGCCATACTGAAGGAGGGTTTCTCCTGCTATGACCTCTTTAGGGATATCATATTAAAAGTAAAGGTCACTGAGAAACTGTTTCCAGCTCAGGGGAGATAGCTGTTTCTTAAAGATAACTACCAGTTTTGAAAATGTTGACCTCAGGGACCAAAAACACTGAGCTTTTCTAATACTAATTCCATTGAAAGTCCTAGTTAATTTAACACATACAATTAGCTTTTTTTTTTCTTTTAGCTAATAAATTAAACAACTCTGTTTAGCATTTTTGGGGGAGGAAGAATTTGAAGCAAGTGGGCCTGTTCTTAATCTACGTGTTGTTCCTTCTCACAGGAAAAGGAGAGGCACCCTAAGAGTAAAACCAATGCTGAGCTGTTGATGAGATGCTAATTCAGGTGGTGAAAGTGCACGATATGGAAGCTTGGCCAAGTCTGGGCTCAAGATCTGTAGCTCTCTCTTGTGTTTCCATAACCAGTAAAAAGAGGGTGAGGGGCTTTTTATTACCTTGGCTCCTCTGTGGAAGGAATTCATCCCACTGAACCTCAGCAGTTTGGAAAGCAGTCATCCTGTTTCCCTGCAATGTCAGTGAAGAGGGAGTCACTCCCAGGCAGCGATTCATCCTAAAAGGCTGGGCTTATCTTATCTATTTTATAGATATTAGGAAAATATTATATATATTAGGAAGAAATTCTTCACTGTGAGGGTGGTGAGGCCCTGGTACCTTGTTGCCCGGAGAAGCTGTGAATGCCCCATCCCTGGAAGTGTTCAAGGCCAGGCTGGATGGGGCTTTGAGCAACCTGGTCTAGAGGAAGGTGTCCCTGTCCATGGCAGGGGGTGAGAACTAGTTGATCTTTATGGTCCCTTCCAACCCAAGCCATTCTATGCTTCTGTGATTCTATTTTAGGATCAGATGATTCATCCACCCTCTCTCTCTTCTTAGATTATAACAAGAGCCTGAGAGAGTAACTTTTATTAGAATTAAGTGAGATCAGATGAATCCTTCCCACTAGGATTGGAGCAGTTTCAATTGAGAAAAAGACACTTCTTGCCAGGATGTGTTTATAGCATATGTAACCTGAAAATGGGCTGAAATCTCACATAAGTCAACAAATGGCTGGGTTGGAACGAGGTGATCTTTAATATCCCTTCCAACTCAAGCCATTCTATGAGTCTATGAACTTCCAGTCAGATTTAAGCATGTACTCTTAAAAAACAGGACAGAATCAATGTGAACTTAAAAGTTGTTTTAAGGGCTTTGCTAAATCAAACTGTAAGTGGTCAGGATACCTCAAGCACTGTTCAGTTAAGCAGCTTTTCTAAAGTTAGGCAGAATATATACGGTTTGATGGAGGTAGTGCTCAGGTCTCCTGTGTATTTTAATTCTTAGAATATAGCTGGAATAACATTGCGCTCCACAGCTTTACACCCATTTTTACCATCAGCATCCAAAATGGCTGATGTCAGTGTCAGCAAATAGTTGCTTTTTGGCCTGGAGATGATAAATTTTACCTTAATCCACATTTTTTAAGCTGCAGTGAGGATTTAATTCAGAAGGAATAAATCCTAGTAATTGAGAAGGATAAAATTTCCAAAGAGAAAGAAGTCAAGTCAGTGGGAACTACTTATGAGCTATCAGATTTGGTTCTGATAATCACCACTGACTTTTAAATTCTCTGTGCATATGTTGTCACTAAATGTAGCCAGTGCCTTCCTTTTTTAGAAAATTGTTCAGCAAGCAAATCTCAGCTATTTCCTAATATGATTTTATTATGGTTTTGGAAACCCAAGAGCTGATGAGGCCTAAGAAGTCTTCAGGAACGGCTTGTGACTCTGTTCCCTCCTCTACAAATACTCAATAATTTCAAATTTACAGTTATCAGAGGAGAAACGCTGCAGTGACTGAAATGAGGCAAATTGCTTCATTGTATGAAAGTTTGTGTCAGAGGCAGCACAAGAAGTTGTAAAATGTAAATCTCGTGCTCTCAAATTTCCCCGTGTTTTCACAGAACTGCATCTGTGACTGTGCAGCACTACAAAAATTTCCTGTGAATGTGCTAATAGGCCTTATGAGAATGTTCTATCACCATCCATCTGTCACTTTTTAACAGGCCTGATTGGCAAGCACTTGTAACAACTGACATCTGTTCTCGCTTATTGATATGTAGATTTATGGTAATTGCTGTGAACAATAAGACACAAAATTACCTAAGGTGAACATTAAATTAAATTTTCATGCCCCTATCCTTATAAATAATTTTTTTAAAAAATCTTAAGTTTCAAGCAAGACATACTGTGCATCTGTTTTGTACATAATTTAATTGTTTTTTTAATCTGCCAAATGACAAAATGAAAGTTGAATTTCCTTACGATCTTGAATATTTGCCAAGCTGATAGTGCATTGGTAAATACATGTTATTAAAAATGGAATCAAACTGTATTGTGATTCTGGTTTTTTTAATCATTTCCCTTTAATTCCCAACATTGTCTCCATCATGAAGATCAAGAGTTATTCCATACCCAGAAGGTTTTTTTCCTCTACGGCAGGATTTTCATTTTTCATGTGCAGCTCTGCCTATGAGGCTGTTCCTCAGCGTTAAGCAATTTGCATTTCTTCAGAGAGAGGTGCATTTGCTGAGTGAGCAGCACTTTCAAATAAAACCCATCTACTCATTTGCGGTCCAGCCCTGTTGCGGGATTTGGGACTGCTTTGAAAAAATTGTAGGATGTGAAATGTGTGCAGAGAGTCTGTGAAAAGGGAGAGAATGGGAAAGCAGATTCATCCCACAGAACTGTACCTTAGCTGCAGTTCAGTTGAACTAAAAATCCCCAGTTCAAAGCAAAGTACTTTTTGGGACTGGGACTGAGAGCATTTGGCTTCCCTCCTCCAAGGATGTCCTATCAAGTGGGACGTTGACGCTCCTGACAGGTTGGTGGGAGAAACCAATAAAGAGGGAGCAGAGATGGTAAAATGCCTGGGGAATATGAAACAGTGATGACAGGACTTATTTTTTTAGAGGTTTAAGCAGACAGAGGATCCTAAAGAGGTTGCATATTAAGTGATAAAACTGTTGACAAAATCGGCTCTAGAGCGTGCTGGGTGACAGTGTGTGCCATGAGCCCTTGCTGACAGCCACATTTGGGTGCTCTTAGTCAAGTGTGACAACAGCAAGCAATCTTTTTTTCCTTCAGGCACCCAAGCTGACACCCTATAACATCTGCAGACCTGTTTTGTGGCCAGGGTCTTGTAGTCTACAGTAAAACAGATTAGATGGGGAGACAACTTTGTCTCCACTGAGCTCTTGTTCATTCATCTTCTACGGGCATTGAACTCATTTGTCAAATCAATGGGTTTCTCTTGTGTTTCCACAGGAAACATCACACTATATTAAAAAAAAAAAAAAGATTTTGTGGGATGAGGCAATGATGGTATTTGTTTTGCATCCACATGGGCACAACATTGAAATTTGAATTGTGTTTTGCAAAATTGTTTGGGTGGGTAGTGTTTGAGGAAGGCTTATTTTTTAAGATGGTCATAAGCTTCCAAAACAAACCTGAAAGAGCATTTTTGGTCACATAATTCCTCCAAGTGTGTTGTACAGATTCCAGACTAAGAAGGGCTGTATCTTGGATCAGCTAAAACCTTAACTCCTACAATTGTCATTGTGTCACATTTTCAAAAGCACCATATGAGCTGACTTTGGGTATTGACTGAGGCACAGACATTAGAACCTCAGCCAGACCAGGTGCTCACCTGAGGCCTGACCTGTCTGTTGGAACATGCTGTATTAAAATCTAAATTAAAGACCTTGCTATTTAAATGCCTCCATTTTTGAAGGTGCTCACTGAAATGCAGCTATATCTCTCCTGCGTCTTCCAAAATAATGAAGCAACAGATGACTGAGTAACTTGATATCACAGTCCAGAGCTTACAGCCTGAAAGTCCCAGCCTCACTGATGGCTCTGTGGTCAGGCTGATACTAATTTGATGTACTTAGTTCATATATGTTTTTAGGAGTGAACTATCAAAAGGAAATTGAGCACAATTGATTACTGTGCAGTGTAACCTTAGTATTTTTTTCAGAGGAGACATGGGAAACAAATTGTGTTCATCCCAATTATATGACCCTGTCCTGAATGTGTTTTAAACGTTAGTTATCTTCTTTACACCCCCTGTTGTGTCAGGAAATAATGTTGCGCCTAGGCTTCACACAGAGTTTAAATTACATTTAATTCTACACTACCCTTATAGAAGAGGCACAAACCAGGTTTAATTTTCCTGAAGCATAGGCTGGTGCTTTTGCTGCATTTTCTCAACTCCAAGGTAGAGAAGTGAGAGATACCATTCAGGAAGTGAAGGAAGTGGTTCCAGAATATAGATGTCTTGAGAGTGAGAAGAATTGAGTTTCTTGGCAAGGCACACCCCAAGCTCCACATCCATTGAAAATAACTATTTTCATGATGATGATGATGATGGTGATGATGATGATTACCTGTTTTAATTAACCTTATTGCTTCTCCATATAGGCATGAACGCTTTACAATTACAGAATTTGGCAACTTTAGCAGCCGCAGCAGCCGCCGCCCAGACCTCAGCTACCACCACCAATGCAAATCCTCTCTCCACAACGACTGGTGCTCTGGGAGCCCTCACAAGTCCCGGTAAGAGCAGAGTGCTTGATTTCAACACTGGGAGTAAATGGGAACGTGAGAGTTAAAATGGTGATTCCGTGTTGTGTTAAGGTTCCACGCCCATACGCGTTCTGAAGACCCTTTAATTACTGAATACATTTTTGCTGCTGTTGTTTTTAAGCAAATAACTACTTTTTCAAGTGGTCTGATGTGGACACGTTCACCTTTCCCGAGTCATTTCAGGGACCATTAAAGCCTAACAGACCCATCTTACAAAAACTCTGCAAGAAAACTGCAATTGCATAGGAAACTTAAGCTAAAATTAACTTTTCAGGAAGACTTCAGAATATTACCAAATTCTTCCTGTCCTACAGAAAAATCAACTGAGGTGGTTCTGAGAGACTGATCTTTGATTCCCAGCACATGCTGGGAATTGCCTTTACCCATCATGAATTTTTGTGAAGACATTCTCTCCTTTTTTTCCTTCTGTTTTTTTGCTGTGGCTCAATTGAGCTTTCTTCTGATCCTGATTATACAGTCACAGAAGTGATATCAGATTCCCAAGGAATACACAGACAAAAGACTAGTCAAAAGACAGCTTTGGGGGGGGAAAAGGGACATGATAAGAGGTGGGGATGCCTCCATGACCACCCTGTGGACTTCCAGCCATGAATGTCTGATGTCTGCAAAACCCTAGAGAGAAATCAGGGTAAATTCAAACTTCAGTAACACTTCACCATCTCCAGAATCCAGAGAGAGAGAGAGAGATTGATTCAGTGTAGTTACTCTGGATTTACAGTGATGTAACTGAGTGGAGAATCCGGCCACTTATCGTTACATAAAGGCTGCAGGGTGTAATTATTTGCATCATGAAGTGTGTTTATTGCTGTTCTAAAAAACATTCATATTATTTTAGACACCACTAAAGAACGTTTGTGTTTAATCTTGTTTAAGTGTGTATTTATTCGCCATGAAAAAGTAATTCATGGCAGACGGTTTGAGCTCATCAGTAAGGAAAACAGCCTTCACTGCACAATAGAACTGGGACCGAGTGTGGTGCCGGGTGTTGGCACTGGCCAAGGCTTCCCGTTATATTGGAGTTTTATTGTTTGTTTGGGACAGAGGTTAATACCTAGTTTGTGCAGAATTTTCCTGTTTCTGGCACGAGCCTCATTTTGACCTAAAAATATTGTTTATTAGCAACATCTCTGAGAAGCACTTTGGGTGAAAATAATTTTGGCTTGCTGATACATGTATATATGTATTTTTAAACCTGAGCAATCTCTCCCCTCTGTCCTGGAGCTGGGACTTAACACGTTGCAAAAGGCTAGTCCCAGTGTCAATGTTTCCACATTACTCCTGTCTAAATGTCACCCATTTACAGAAGCAGAAATGTTGCATTTCATGGATGTTCTGTGGTATCTCTGTAGTGTAGCTGTTAAATGTCTGAGCAGCCTGTCCTTCCAAAACACACTCAACATACCTTCATCCATACTGACAAGACTTCTCGGTGTTGAGTACTATGGTGCAGAGGGGCTGGAAATTAACTCTTTTTTATCATTGCTGCTCTGCAGCAAAGTGGCACCAGAACATTCCTGTCATGCACTTTGTCTTGCCATGTCAGCACAGAGCTTGGACTCATCCTTAAGGTCCACATTTGCATCCTTCCCTCTCTAGCACAGTCTTCTTATCCAGCCTGGCTGACTTGCTGTTCCCTCTCTTAACATGGTCTTGAGGCTCCTTGAGTACCTGGAAAGTGTTTTTGTCTGATGTCCAAGTCTGCAGAGGCCGTGGTAAATCAGGTGCTTCAGCTGGGCTGGGCAGATACATCAGCTTTGTATTGCTCAGGGTGGTATTGTAGAGCAGGCACCAGTTTTTTTCCAGTGAGATTAAAGATTTTGGCTAACTCATTGAACTTGTTATTTTCAAAAAATTCTGGATATTTAGCCTTTGAAATAGTGTATTCAGTATGCCAGTTGGTTTTGAAAGTCTTATAGATAGTATCTGTACACAATTGTTTCTAATATTAGACATCTTGGTGTGCCAAAGAAAAACGTGTATCCACTGACCTGTTTATGTTGCACAACCAACCTAAAATGCAGCCTTATTAAAATGTTCTTCAGTTTAACCTTCCTTATCTGGTTCCACATTCCTCACCCTGTTAAATATTTTGTAAACCTGAATAATATCTTCAATGATCCTCCTCTGCTCTATGGAAAATGAATTTAGTTTGATAAAGCTTTTCATAGTAGCTCAAAGTATTGCCACTAAAGCTTGAGATACGTTGGCAGAAAGCATTTAAATCTGACTTTTAGTGTGTGGATGTTTGGAGGCCTTGAGGATATTTTTTTGGTCTAGTTTTCTTTTAATAGAACACTTCAGTTTGTTGTGTTTCATAAGCGTAAATTATTTTGTCTGATTTCAAAGCCTGCACTAAGCCCAGGAAGAAATGTTTGTGTCTCTCCAGATAATGTATTAAATTAATATTTCTCAGTTGAGAAAACAGCCCAAATTTAGGGCAGTGCAAAGGTAGATGCTTAAATTTAATCCTTTGCTTGATGCTGTTAAAGGCAAAATACTGCACAGAACAGGGGTGGGCATAAGTGTGTATTTCTAGTATACCCTAAACCATGGCAGCCACATAAATCATATCCATGTCTCAACCCAGATATAACTGTGTCTTTCCTGAAGGTTTCTCCTGAATCAATCTTTCACCAAGAGCTCTTGTTCTGTCCTTTGTAAATGTGTTATAATAGCCCCAAAAAGTGGTTATTTCAGTTAAAATTCATCTTGAGGCCTAATTTTACATAGATAATATTTAGCAACCTTTGGTGCATCAAACTAGTACAGAGGGGATAATGGTGAGACCAACTGTGATGCATTGGCAACACAGAAAAACAGGCCAGGAAGTGAGGAACCAACAGGACATCTGATATTTGAGTATTTCCAAACAAATTAAACTCCAATGATCTTTCCCTCTTACATTCTGACTAAATAACTTTGACCGCAAGAGAGTCTAAGGACACTCATTCTCCTCCATGTGCTAAATACTTTCTCTTATGCTTGAAAGACTATTCATTCAGAAAGAACAGAGACAATACAATCCCCCAAACTATTAATTTTTTCATAATTGTAAATTTATAATTTCAATTTTGCATACCCATGGAAGTCTCTCCCTACAGCATTGTTAGAAATGATTTTTTAAAAGCCTTTGCTTAAAAAAACATGAAAGATTAAGCTTTCATTTTAGTAAAAATCCCCTCAGGCAATAAATAGGTTCTTTTGTCTCTTGGCCCTGGAAAAAAAAATTAAAATGGTTTAAATTGCCTATGGTTAAAGTAACTGTTTCTTGCAATTATCAGATGGTAGTGAATAAAAATTAAAATGAAATCATGAAAGACTAAAAGCCAGGTAAATGCATATTATGTCTTTTATGAGTTTCTCATGGGTCTTTTGAAGACTCATTTAATCATGTTTCTTGTCTTTTATTTTGATATGATAATTGTTTCCTTTATTTACTTTAATCACCTCTATTTAGTTAATTAATTCTTCACTTTATTTTCACTTCACTTGCTTAGGATACTTTTTCTGTTTTAAAGAGAGGTACCAGTAGTATTTCATACCATTTTAAAGGCAGGTACTTGTAGTATTTAGTAAAACAAGGAGTTGTGCTGGGGTAGCTTTTACCTGACTCCAGGTTGTCTGATCCAATTGGTCTCAATTCCCCTTTGCTTGGGCCTTGGAATTTTGCATTTCTTGTTAACTAGGAAGGGATTTTGGAGGGACTCCCTCAGCTGTAGGTATCCACACTGTAAATTTCCCAGTTTGGGCAGGATGAATCTCAGCCAAATGTCAGGAACCTTATTCTCTCCTCCAGAGACTGTCCTTGACACATCCTGCAAATGGATCACTGAGCACAGAGCTTTCAGGGAGGCTGCTATTCCAGAGCCTGCAGAGATTCAGTGTTCATTCAGTGGGTGGTGGGAAGGCCTCGAGGTGGATATGAAGGAGGGACATACAAACTCAGGATCAAAGTATCTGCCTCTAACACTATCTGACATTTAATTTGCCTCAGTTGACCCACTACCCTAATTTTCCCAAGGATAATAACGTGTATTTTGACTGTCCTGGGTGGTACAAGATTAATACAGCTCTGTAAAACAGGGACCAGTCAGAGCAGGCTGGTGAAAGCCATGTCCCATCAAGGTTTGAGTATCTCCAAGGATGGAGATTCCATAGTCTCTGTGAGCTCATTTCAATTTTGTGTCTTAAAATTCATACACAAATGTTTTTTCAGTAGCCAGTAGGGAAGCCCTTCTATGTGCAAATGAAGAGACGAAACATCTAATTATATATCCAAATTTATCTGCATGAACATACACAATATAATTTCTGAGCTGTGGGGGGATAGAATTGCTAAACCAGAAGTTAATTCAGTTTCAGACTTGGGAGCCTTCATTTTCCATGACATTTTCATGATTATTTGATTCTCTAAACTATTATTTATTCACACAGCTGAACTAGCTATTCATGCTTCAGTAAAAAACTCTTTAGGTTTATCTGCTTTGTAAACCTAAGAGGAAATATTTCTGAAAAAAAAATCAAACTGACAGTGTAGACTTTTTTCTTTTAATGACCTCTTAAAATCCAGCCCAGCTTTTGTCATTTTGTATCAGTATTCAGCCATTAGCTCTTATGTTGAAAAAAAAGTTCTCCTAAGTCTAAAAATACTCATTTTCAGACAGATGCTGACATTGAAGAATAACAGCCCCAAAAAACAGAAGACTGTGAAGTATAGAATAAACTGAAAAAAAGGAAAAAAGATTACACTGCCTGTCCTGTAAGAATTAATTCATTCTTTCCCTCTTCTCAAAGCAGAGAATTATAACTTCTAGCTATGATCCATGGCTCATTATTTTCTCTGCCCCCTAATCTGGGATGAGGATTGTCTTTGTTAGTTGAAGGTGTTCATGTTGTGAACACAGTTGTCGAAATGTTAGAAATTTTATAGAATATACAAGATGCTTCAG